AAGCCTGTGACTCACACAGGGGCCATCGAGGCTGCACAGCAGGCCTGTGGGAAGAGGAGGCCCCGGCGCCCCTAACACACGCTGCCCCTCAAGTCTCCTTGCCCCTCCTCCGGTGCCCCTGCCCCTGCCCACTGAGTTCGCTGAGAACCAAGGACTCTGCTGCTCCTGGAGCTGTGGCAGCCCAGCCCTCGGTCCTGTCCCCCAGCCTGTGGCCTCCCCACATAAGTGGGTCCCACTGTCAGCCAGGGCTGGACCGGGACACCCTGCCCACCCCAACAGAGCAGCTCGGAGTCCCCGCCGGGTCGGAGCATTTGGGGAAAACCTCCTGGAACAATCTCCCCCGCACCCAGGCGAACAGAGAAAGACAAGGGCAGGAAAGGTTTGTGGGTGGGCAGTGGGAAAGGGCTGAGCGAGCCAGGCGTTACTCCTACGGAGCGCGAATGGACTAGCTGCAGGGCTGGGAGGGGCACGGAGCAGCCTGCCCCCCCCCTCCCCGGAGACTGACCGGGGGCACGGGGACCGACTACAGTTAATGTCGCGCTCCTGCCAACTCCAAGTGCAGGTGGCTTCGGAAAAGTGGCTAACTTGCAGCCCTGACTTTATTTCTGCAGGGACCTTCCCTCAGTGTGTACGTTCCGTCTGAACCTTGGAGACACAATCCAGGGCTCTGACCGTTCCCCACATGGAGAAAGGCTGAAAACCACTCTTTCAAGGACAAGTACCTACGCCTGTGGCTTTGACGGCCGCTGGGGTGGGGCGAGGCATGACCGCCTGATCTGGGCCTTCTGATCTGACCTTCCACCAAGTTTCCCCGGAAAAAGCTAAAGAGAGAAGAGCGGGCCCCACAGGAAGCAGGGCATGACCTTGACCTTGGAAAGTCCCAACTCGACCTCAGCTACCCCGGAGACAATGAGCTCGCCCTCCTGGGTGCCCCCACACCCAGGCTCCCCCGTTCTCTCCAGGGTCCCACACAATGCGGGTCTGGCGGAACCAGGGGAAGGCGCTAGGAGGGGACGAGAACGCGAGAAAACTTTGCTCATAGATATTCTTCGGAGGTGTCCAATCCGGCTGCCTTTGTTTGTTTGCACAATGGATCTTATCTGTGGGTAAGGGCTGTGTTCAGGCTTATTATCACCCCATAAAAGGCTCTCGGGCTGTCTTGCCCCTCGTTCGGCCGCACCGCCGTGGCACAGCGCATTTAATCGAAGCGCCAGCTCTGGGGAGAGCCTTCGGAGACTCACCCTTTCTCTTGGCCCCGTTATCTCCCCTTCCTGGTGTTAGGGAGGCAGGAAAATCACAAAAAAGTCATTCTCAGTATATTCTCCCTGATAATTATTGTCAGACTTGGAGATAAGCCCCCTACGTGATGTAATGTGTGTTCGCTGGGTCCCCTGAATGCAAATCCTGCCGCCGAGGTGGCCCAGACAAAGGTGGCCCACCAGCGCGGGCCCCCGCGTCCTGCCGCAGACAAGAGAGCGCTTTGATTTTTCCGTGTTTTGATAAGGCGTGATCTGGGGGCCTTTATCTCCACGGTTATATTTAAAGATGACATTCTACCCTGCAGCCTCTGCTATTGTCTGACCCCAATTGTCACCAAATGCTGTTGTTTTAGTCAAACTCACAGGCCTAATGAAAGGCCTGCTCCCAATTTAAGGGAAATTATTTAAATGCGGAGTATCCTATACACGGCAGCTTCAGAAAGAACTAGGTGGTTAATCAAAAGTTAATTGTATAATTCTCATGCAGATTAGGGCCTCTTGCAAATGAATCCCAGGTCGGGGCGATTGAAAAGAGAGTGGCGGGGATGCACAGGGGCCTGGGGCCGGTAAACAATCAGCCCGGTTTAATTTGTGGTAAACAAAGTGAGCATACACCAGGGTCTCCAAAGGAGAAAAAAAGGTGAAAATAAATTAAAGCACAACATACAGATATGATCTTTTTGTTTGAGGCCATCTTTCAAAAACATAAGCTAAATGAATAAAAACTACGCATTAATATTTACCGGAAGCTGTGGACCACACAAAGACCAGCCAGCGCGGCTGCGCGCGACCCAAGGAGGGGCCTGGGGCGGCAGATGGTCCCTCTCCTCTGCCACCTGGACTTGCACCGCCGCTCCCTCCGTGCGGAATGCGACACAATGCCAGGTCCCCTCGCGGGGGCCTGGAGGAGGCACACCTGACTACCTGGCTTTGTCTTCTAAGAGATGCCGGCCACCTGCCCTGCCCGGGGACCACTGGCTGAGAGTAACAGGCATCGGATCAGAAATGAGCAGAGGGACCCAGTTCTGGCTCCCGGGGGCCGGGGAGAGAGGGGTGTTTGCCTGCCAGCTACAATCCCACTCGAAGGTGGTTTCCAATGGAGAGAGGGAGGCGAGGGGGTCTGACCACCTCCCCTGTATCCCGGACAACCAGTGTGTCTCCCGCCGTCTGTTCACCTGCCCCAGCTGGACGGCCTGGCCCTGCTCTTCCAGAGGAGACGAGGTACAGAAAGAAGCCGGGCGCCCTCACCCTCCCCGTGTCTCCAGCAGAACGAGCACCGGTTCAGAGACCCTGTCTCCGCTGACCACAGCCCTGGCATCTCCGCTCAGTCATCACCGGCTTGACCGGGGAGAGTTCCGGGAGGCGCCCCAGGGCCCTGGGGGGTGTGGTGGGACCCCGCTCTGCAGGCAGTGGTGAGCGCCCAGGACGCCACAGCCCTGCCCCGGTCCCGTGCGCTCTGACCCAGCAGGACCGTGTGACAGTGTGGACACGGAGCAGGCCGGGGACGTTCCTTTCCAGGATGAGTTGTAGGCGTCAGCCCAGTGCCCGCCCTCGGGCCTCCCGCCTGACGGGCGGCGTTCATTCAGAAGTCACCCTGCTCCCAGCCCTGGAATGGATTCAGCAGACCGACCATGTCTTCCTGCTCTCCCACAGCTGGGCTGCCTCCCTCCCTGCAGGGGGGAAGTAAGTCTGAGAACCATGAATGGGGGAAAGGCCAGAGCAGGCCCCTGCAGCCGGCCTGCCATCTCTCCACCACAGGGGTCTCTCAGGCCTCCTGCTCCGATGATCACAGGCACAGGAAGCTGGCAGAGGCCTGGCCAGGCACTGAGCAGTCCCCTGTCCCCTCAGTGGGCACCTCCTGCCCCACCCATCCAGGCTTGCTTGAGCTCCCGGGGGCTGTGGGAACAAAGACCACACACTGGCTGTGTCAAAAGGGCAGACATTTATTGTCTCGGTTTCTGAGGCCAAAGTCAAGGTGTGGGCAGGGCCGGCCGGGGGAATGCACTGGGGGAGGAGCCCTCCTGCCTCCGCAGCTCTGGCTCCCATCCCTGCTATCACCCTGCGTCTCCGGGTCCCCATCTGGCAGCCTCTTTCTTCCCAGGACACCCGTCATTGGAGGAGGGACCACCATAGCCTCATGGGGACTAATCAGAAGTGACCCTATTTCCAAATAAGGTCGCATTGGGAGGTTACTGGAGGTCACCTTTTGTGGGGTGCGAGACACCTCCCAGGGTCTGACCTGACCTGGCCTCTCCCGTTGCTACCTTGGCTTCCCTCCCGCACCACCCGACCCCCCCCCCACACCGCCAGTCCTGAGCTGCATCTTTGAGCTCACACCACCCCTAAGGGTACCCCGGGCTCCAAACAGAGCTCCGACCGGGAGGGGGTTGGCAGTGAGCACGGGGCCTCAGGGACGAGATCAGGGGTGTGAATACCATTCCCCCGCCATCTCGGGGTTCAGAGGGGCCGCCTCATCTGTCGGGCCAAACCTGGCCCCACCCCCGAGAGGTAGCCCTTGCCACGCTGAGAATCACCTGCCCTCCCTCCCCGACACCTCTGGGCGCCCTGGCAGCCTCTTGTCCGCCACCTAGTGGCCGCTCTGCGGAACCGCACCGCGTTATTCCCTGCCGCGGGGGAGGTGGCTCGCGGCGCCCCCTCCCTGGAGAACCCTGCGGGCACCGCTGGAATAACCTCACAGGTGAGGGGAAGCCTCACCTGCCGGCCGACTTTTCAAAGTCGCCACTCTGGGCCCGCATGGCAGAGCTGCAGGTTCATGCAGAGCGGGTCACTGCGGCCTAATGAAGAACGGAGAAGGGGCGGGCGCTCAGCCGGGCTGCGGGGGGCAAACCAGCGGGCAGCGCCCCCGGTTCACCCCGCGGGCCTCGCCCAGGGTCTCGGGCACACTGGGGCCGCTGCTTCGTAAATCTCAGTGAGTCTTGCATTAGAGAGAAACCTTTGCAACTAAACCGTCCGAAAACACACATTTCTCATGAAAACGCACGGGGGTTTCTAAATATTAACACATAAATAACACGGGGTCTCTCTGACCCTTTTATCTCCTGCACCCCGTTTGTATCGATACGGAATATCGATGCTGGTGCATAAATCATAGTCGGCATGGAAACTATGAAGCTTCGGGCAACAGCTAGTCACACGGGCTTCGGTCCTTGGAAAGAAACGCCGCTCCAGGGGCCGGGGCCCTTTGGGAGAGGGGACATTTGTCTCCCTGGCCTCTCCCCGCCCCAGGCCGTGAACCCCCTGCCCCCGGACCACGCGGAAATGCGGGTGGGAGAATGCCGGGGCAGGGGGGCAGTGCTCACCCGGGGGGCACGGGGCAGCGGGGGGAGGGGCGCTGGGGCCCCACGTCCCGCTGTGCCCCAGGTTCGCTGCAGAGCACTCGCCGCCTCTACAATCGCACGGGGACACCGCAGGGGCCCTGCCACCCCCTGTCCCGCCAGGCCAGCTGTAGCGGACGTCCTCGCCCTGTGCTTGGGAAATGAAACTCGGAGAAAATGGTTCGCTCTGGAAGAGAAAGGGCAAAGGCTCAGCTGGGTCTTGTGGGTGCGCACAGCGCGGGGCGCCGCGTTCTCGGCCCCCCAGACTCTAAGGGGAGCACCTGCAGGTCCTTCTTTGGCTGAATCCCCGGAAGGCCGCCGCGCGCCCTCTGGTGGCCAGTCCTGGAGCCACACCGGCCGCCTCGCCTGCACCAGCCTTCGCATCCGTCAATCAAAAGCAACAAGGTCAGATGGAATATATTTTTAAATGCCTTTTCTGGGTTACTATGGCAACTGAGGAACTGGTTTAAACCCAAAGTACAATTAAGCTGCTCCTTGTTTCATATTAATTTGGGAAGGAAAACAGCTTCATTTCTACCTTGTCGCACTCCAGCTTGCTGGTGCAGAGAGATTCAGGGTTTCAAAAATGGGTTCCAGTTCCCCTCCCTCCAGCTGGGAGCCTGGTCGGCTTCTGAGGGGCCACAGGGACCAGAGCAGCCATCCCCAGGCAGCTCTGCGTGTGACAAACTGTCCTGAACGAAGGAGCGGCCTCCTCGCCGCTCACTGCCCCCAAACGTTTCCGGAGCCGCTGAGTCTGAGGGAAAGTTCCAGAGGCCAGCTGTTCTGCTTCAGCTCGGCCAGCCACAACTCCCCTCGGTTCCCTTGGCAAACACCGGCCTCTCTGCTCAATTCCTCCACCTGCAGAGTTAAGTGAGAATTAAATGAGAGGAGAGATGAAAGGCACTTTTTAAAATAAATATATATGTTAGCATTTTCATTGAAAATAGTTTTATGTTTAGGAACAGTCACATGGATGGTGCGCTGCATAACCCGCACCCAGTGCTGTGCGTTTTGTACATTTTGAGTGTACAGGTGGTTGACTGGATACAGTTACACATTGCAGAATATTAGTGTTAGGGAACTGGTCCAGCATATCACTTAGTTACCACTTCTATTTTGTGGTGAGACATTTAATATCTATTAGCACTTTTTAAGTGTATAATGCAGTGTCGTTGACTTCACTCACCACGCTGTCCATAGGGTCCCCAGAAGTGACTCATCTCATAAGTATGACTATGCACCCTAAGATCAGTATCTCCCATCCCCCCTGGACCCTCAGCCCCTGGTAACCACCAGTCTAGTTTCTGAGAAAATAACATAGTTTTGACGCAAAAGAATGTCATTTCAATTATTTTCTACATTTTTCATGTTTGGCTGTATTTTATTTTCCCTTGGACAATTTGAGAGAGTGGTTTTTAATGTTCCAAGGGGTAGGCTGGATCTTTGTATGGTTTGGTCAAAGACATCTCGGACATTTCTAATTTTACTGAACCCTAATTAGAGAGTATGGCCTGGTAAACGTCTACTTGCGGGGCCTGTCTGAGGTTCTCTGTAAGCAAACATAATGCAGAAATACTGTGTGTGTGTGCTGAGAACCTGAAAATGGCTTTCACCCCCTAAACTGCATCAACACGCATGTTCTCAGCATGTATTTGACTCTTCTGCATCTCAACTCATGTCTTGCCTACGTGTCCTACCACAGATCTGCAAAGAAGCCCAAGCCCGGCCCACGAATGTGCCTGTCTGCCTGTCCCGCTCCCCACGACTCACTCAGAAGCTCCCTCGCCTGCTTCTCTGAGCCTCATCAGAGATGCATCGCTAATGTGAAAGAAGAAGGCCTTTCTCTAAGAGTTCCGGACACTGTTTTCTGCAGAAAGGTCCAAGTAGCCTGAGAGGTTCTGCTTTTGCTTCCTCCTTCCTGGGGGCGGGGCGGTGGGGCACTGCCCACCCCTGGTGCACGAGCTCACCCTGCCCGCCTGGCCCCGCCTGGCCCCATCCTGCCATCTGTCCCTCCGGCTGCAGTCCCCTGGGCTGGTGTGTAAACAGGAAGGGCAGGTGGTTGGGCGTGACCCCTGCCTGCTGATGCCCGACCACTCAGCTGAGCTGCTGCTGGAAGACTGGCTGGGACCGGCTGTGAGACCCCCAGCACGCAGGGGTGGGTGCAGCTTCCTTCCTCCTCAGACAGAGCAGAACCTGAAGATCGCTCCCCTGCCAGCCCTTCCCCCCCCCCCCCGTCCCCACAGTCAAAGGCTGTCCTTGAGGGACTGAGCCACCAGAGAGCAATGGGCCTGCCCCCCCAGCCCCCTCCTGCCTGTGCCCGGAGGGACTGCCTGCTGGATGGAGGGACCTGGATGCCAGCGAGAAGCTTCCACATCAGAACCCCAATTAGTCAAACCTTTAGTTTTCCAAAGCGGCTTGGGGTAGCAATGCTGAAACCACCTTATATATATGATGGGCCTGGATAAAAATATAAAGTAACTGTGAATCAAGAGAACCAGGGTGTCCTGGTTGGAAAGGAAGGTGACCAGCGTGGAGTAGAGGATGGTCAGACGGGACCCGGCAGCATCCGGAGAGCTGGACGGAGAGGCGGTGGGCAGGCACCCACACGCCGCTCCTGCGGCCGTCTGCTCTGAGACGCTCCAGGGGACACGGTGTCAGGGGCGCTCCAGAGCCCAGATCTTGCCCAGGGACAGAGCCATGCTGTACCAAAAATCCAGGAAGTGACCTGAGGGTGGTGAGGGCAGGTTGAAAGGACACAGGGGCCAGATGCCAGTGGCCCAGTCCAGGACAGCTCGAGCTTCAAAATAAACGACAGTGACGGGTTACAGCCCAGAGAACAAACTAGGAGCCTGTGAGTCCACACTGACAGAGAGAAGTTCAAAACCAGCCAAAAGCAAGCAGGGACAGCCCCTTGTCCCAGGAGAATCCTCACTCGTGCAGATGGAATGCGGAAATTTCAAATGACATCACTGTCAGGCCGCCATCGCCATCACCACCACCATTGTTTCGAGCAGACATACCCATGGGTGGTAGAACTGGCGAGAATTTCGTGAGAAAAGGGTCGTTGCGGCGGTTCGGAGAAGCGCTCCCACGGCACTTAATAAATGCAAAGAGAAAAGAGAGAACCCTGCCTGCCAGCCTCCCACCAAGGACCGCTGGGTCTCCAGGGAAGGAACCGGTGGGTGCCAATGCCCCCCCGCTGGGGCACTGGGGAGCGTGCGTCACTTCATGTCTCTAAGATCCTCGTTAAAAATGCAAAACTTGACTTTTATAGCAGACAAACCCAACGTGAGGGCCATTCTGTGAAATAAACTGGCCTATACCCCTCAAAGTGACCCAGGTCGTAAAAGGACCAAGAAAACCCAGAAGCCAGGGCGGGCTGAAGGGGCCCGAGGAGACAGGACACTTCACGGGGGAAATGGGAGAAAAGAGAAAGGGGACATCAGCAAGTAGCTAGTGACAGTGGGACAAAAGCCTCGGGCTGGATGATATCACGGTGTCAGAGCCCAGCCCCTCATTTCTGTCACTGTGGTGCAGTGGCCAGAGAGAGTGTCCTCGCCGCTGTAAAACACGCCGCAACGTGAAGATGTGCCATGTTTACGACTTGGTCTTACATGGTAAAAGTGATACCACGTCCACCTACAGAGAGAAGAATAAAGCCAACTCGGGAAGTGTTACCTTTGGGGGTTCTGGGCCAAGGGGGCCTCCGTGTGATTTTTGCAACTTTTCTGAGTCTGAAATGATTCCGAAAAGAACACTCTTTTAAAAACGCAAGTATGTCTGCACACGGCGATAATAAAGTGGGTGCCAGGTGAACCCCTAAATGTACACGGGGCCTGCAGGTGACCCCTGGGGTGCAGGGGTCCCGGCAGCTTCAGCTCCCCGGAAGGCCCTTTGCGGAGGCCCCCCACAGCCTGCAGAGGGCGCCCAGCTCGCCTGCCCTGTGGCACCTGCAGACCCAGGCTACCAGGGGCGTGGCCTCATCGGCTCAGTGGGCGCCACTCAAAGTGGCTGGCAGACCGCGCAGAGCAGAAGTCAAGCTCTGAAACCAGGTCAGAGCCTTCCTCCCCACCCTACACCCCACCCCGCCCCATGCAGGCTCCCTGCCTCAGCACAGGGAAGCCCCTGACTCCTCAGAACTTTGGACCTTGTCCGGAAGGCTGTCAGGAGCCGGGGGAAGACTGAACACAGGGCGGGGCCTGGCCACATTTGCATCCCAGGTAGGTCCCCCCACCGACAGGGTAAAGGGGACAAGGTGGGAAGAGGGGTGGCTGGAGGTCTGAGACCAGCAATCCCGGCCCGAAGTAACCACGAACTGAACAAAGGCTAATTTATTGGTGGGGATACAGAGAAATGGCCACGTTCAAGAAACAGTGCTGAGAAAGGACCTCCTGGGAAAAATACTCGCACCCCAGGTGGAAATGCCTGTAACCTGTTATACAGAAAAGTGCGAAGTTCCCATTATTTGCACTTTGTTGCTGCCCTTCCCCCATCCCATCTGGAGAACCCGCCCCACCCGTACACCCGGAAGGGCCGATGACACTGAGCATGCAGCTGTGACTTTAGGACAGTCAAGCCATCAGCTGAGCCCGCCCTCGGCCTGCCTCGGGAAGAGCTGGGCTGGCCAGGTGCTGTTTTCAGAGACTTCCAAGGTCACTGGAGCTGAAAGTTCATAGAATGGGGACAGGGAGGGCTGGGCTGGTCCCCTTGAGGGGGTCACAGGCAAGATGAGGAGGCAGAGAAAGCCCCTTGGGACAAGAAGAGAGAGTGGCCTTGGGAGAGCGGCGTGGAGCCGGGCCCCATGTCCTCTGGGACCCCCTCCAGCCCCAAGGCAGCCTGGGATCCTCTCCTCCTGCCTGCGTCCTTGTCCTGGATGTCACCGCCCGGCCCACCAGCTTCCCTGGTTGCCCCGCCGGCCTCAGGCTGGCTTCTGTCTCCGGCGACCTGAAAGTCTTAATTACCTCAAATCCTTTAAAAAACCGTCAAAGGAGGAAAACACCCCAGTAGAAAACTGGACAAAAGACGTGAAAGAGCCACAAAGGAGAACAACTAACCGATTAACATATGAAAAAACGCTCCTCCTTACTCGTCATTCAGGAAACGCAGTTTGGCAGAGATGTGGAAACTCCCCGTAACCGGGGAGACGTCATCCATTGTGCCGGACAAGCCAGTTCGGCCCCCTGGTTAAAGCGTGATTTGGCCACAGGTAACAAGCTACCGCCGTAAAAGGTTCCCTACCCGCTGACTCAGCAAACCCGCGTCTGGGAGGCCGCCCCAGGGCCACATCAGTCCCAGCCGCTTGGGTCCCAGTCCGGAGCCGGAGCTGAGCCAGAAAGCGGGACACAAGGGTTTCCACACCGGACGAGGACGTCCGCCGCAGCGCCGCTCACGGGAGCGCGAGTTCAGACGCAGCACCGAGGGCCAGTGGTCAGGCTGCACTGCAGAGAGGGGGCCACCGCGGCAGCCACGGGAGAACGCGAGAAAAACATGCCACGGACTGGACGTCGCTGTCATTGTTCAGGCTAAAGAAGACGTGAGTGTGTGTGTGTGTGTGTGAACGATGACCCTCATTTTTGTAAAATAAAACTCAGTGACATATACACACACTTTATATACTTATGTGAGCACACACCGTGTACACCACATGCATGTGCACACGTTTCCACGTACCTGTGACTCTGGATCCGGGTCTGTCTCCGAACGGGCGCCGTGGATGCGTGTGGTGTGTGTGAGTCTACAGTGTGTACCAAATGCTAACACGTTAATGTCTTTGGTATATATCACAATTTTAACAGTGATTATCACCGAATGGTGGAATTAAACATACTTTTCTTCTTCATCCATTTTTTAAAATATGTTTATTGATTTGAGAGAGAGAAACATAAATATGAGAGGAAACGTCGATCAATTGCCTCTCAAACTCACCGCGACCACGGATCGAACCCACAGCCTGGGCAGGTGCCCTGAACAGGAACCGATCCCCCCACCTCTGGTGTGTGGGGCAGTGCTCCAGCCGCCTGCGCCACACCGGACAGGGCTCTTCTGTATCCTTTTCCTGCATTCTGTATTCCACGATCATCAGGTAGGAATATTGCAGTCGGGAGCTGTTTTCCTAAGAAACTGAAAACCACAAGATCAACTTGACCTGGCCGCCCTGGGGACTCAAAGTACCAGGAGACACACTGTCCTCCTCCCCGTCCCTGCGCTGCCCACCCCCCCATCCTCAGCACCCCTGGCCAACAGCCAGAATCTCCCAACATCTCGTCCCCTCCCACCGGTCTGGCCACCTTCGTGCCTCACTCAGTCCCTCCACCTTCCCGCCTGCGGCCCGATGGACCTTCCTAAATCAAAACCGAGGGGCCGCCCCCTGCCCCCCCGACTAGGGTCCGTCTGTGGGGTCCCTCTGTGGAGATCAGAGGACAAGTTCGGCAGCATGGCCCGAGGGGCCCATCCTGACCAGACTCGGACCCGGATCCAGAGCATCTCTATGACCTCCTCTCCGCATGGTGGTTAAAGATCCGGGTTCCTGTCCATCACTGCTGCCCACTCGGCCTCCGCGCCCCAGTCTCTCCACCTGTCCCTAACTCGCAGGAAGCTTCCAGAACAGTGCCTGGCACCGGGCAGACACTTGGCAAGTGTCTGCTGTGGTCCCCACTGCGTTAGCGCCGTGCACACCGAGGGAGGTCGGGAGGAAAGAACCACGAGAATGGACCCCCGGGTTCCCGCCTTGGCCCTGGCCGGCGGCAGAGCCTCGCACTGCTGAGTTCTCTCGGAGACTGGCCGGGCGGCTGCGTGGGGGGGTGAGACGGAGCCGAGGAGGGAGGTGCAGCTCCGTGGGGTCTCGCTTTGCCAGCACCCCGCCCTCACACCACCCGAGGACACAGAATTGGTGACAGAGGGGAGACTCATCAAAGAGTTAAGAGAAAATGTGGGGGGTGGGGAAGACCAGAGGGGGCTGCCCCGGAGGGCAGGCCAGGGGCAGTTT